ATTGTTTGCCATGACTTTTATTTTTTTTCCTCTGAAGTACAGCTTCTATAAATTCTAGTCTTAGTTGTAACCTCTCTTGTTGGCTAAATACACTGAAAGGCAGGAGGATGCTTAATTCATACAGTGTCCCTTTTTAGCACAGAGCATGTACCTATACCCTCATTTTGCAAGGGCTAGAGGCCTGTGTTTTCAAAAAAATAATGGATACATTCTGAGCCTGGTTCACCTGTACTGGTCTCTTGACTTGTCATGATTCACTATTCTAGAAGAGAATGCAATAAATCCCTGCTTGTTGTTCATTCAGTTTTAGCCTGTTTCTTCTTCAGTTCTGCATGTTTTGGCTCGAAATGGCTATTATTGCAGCTTCTTCACCAGACTCATTTGGCTTATTTTCTGTACAAAAGCAGACTTGACCAACCGTTCTCTAAAGGGATGTAAAGAACAGAGAAACTAGAAATGTTATATCCTTTGAATAGCCAAGAGAAGTGACTCCATGTGGTTTAGAGTAATAAGCTTTGAATGGTATATTAATATAATTGGGATAACGTGTAATTTGCCTATGAGGCGGCTTAATAGGCAGGATTACATTTTCTGTTTTTAACTTGTTTCTGCAAGCCAAGATTCTGTCTTCCCCACCAGCTCTCAGCAATGTTGACTATTGGAATGGAGGTAGAAATCAATTTTTGAAGTTTGTAAAACACCTCGTGCTCTCAGTTCACTTTCAGTGTTTTGAAAGTATACCTGAGATGCATTAGACTGCAGAGTCAGGATAAAATAGAAGTGTCTTACAAGAGAAGTCTTTAATTAGAACCATGGGAATGCTAGCTCACCTTGGACCAATGGCATGCGAAAGAGTGTTTTGGCAGCATGCCATTTCAAGGAGTGATTCTGTACAGGTCATGTGCTGCATCTCAGCATCTGTTAGGACACGGTGCGGCGCAGCTCATTGTCCTTTGTTCACATGGTTCAGTGATGCGGCTCGGGGCTGGGCTTGGAAGAGACTTGATGCTGTGTCTGCACAGTTCCCATGAGACCTTTTCCTGCTGCAGGTGAAGGGCAAGATGGCATCCCTTCCCATTCCTTTCCTCAACACTGGGGATAGGACAGTGTCCTCCACTATATCTGAAGGTAGCAGGATGTAGGGCAGCTCCTCTGGTCCAAAACTCTATCTTATAACCCAGCAGGTATGGACATATAACACTGGTCTTTTTCCACCTACACTGGTTACCAGTTGAAGCCCAGGCCCAATTTAAGGTGCCAGTGATGACCTTTAAAGCCCTAAACGGCTTAGGAGCTGGTTACCTGAAGGAGCCTCTCCTTCCATATGTGCTTGTCCACCCCTTAAGAACTGGGGCAGAGGCCCTTCTTCAGGTGCCCTCCCTGAAGGAGATCAGGAGGGTGACTACCCAGAGAAGGGTCTTCTCTGTGGTGGCACCCCAATTGTGGAATTCACTCCCCAGAGAGGTTTGACTGGTGGCATCACTTTACTATTTTTGGTGCCAGGCCAACATCTTACGTTCCCAATGTTTTAAGACCTGATTGTTTTAATTGGAGTTTTATTGTTAGTTGAATTTTTAGGACACTGTCCTGGATTGGGTCAGATTTGGCCCATGAACTTGAGGTTCTCCATGCCTGCTGTAGGTTGGTTGTTGCACTTTGGTTTAAAATAGATAAGATTGCAGGTATGCTTCCTGCTCAGTGTTTTATTTTCTTTTTCTTTGTTAGAAATATCTGAAAGCAGCCTGACACACTGAAATACAATATCAGATCTGCAGACAAATCTTTAATTGGTGCCTGCATCTAGCAATATCAGGAGCTGTCTCCCGTTCTGCTAACTTTGGTACTTTTCTGCTTCTGCTGCCTTTTTACCTTCCTTGCCAAATGGAAGAAATTTTACCTGACAGTAGATAGACAGATGGGTGTGTTGGTGGAACAGTGTGGGAAGAGCTGTGATGGGGGTGGGGTGCTGGCAGAGACAGGTGGGAGCTCCACAAGCGCCTCTCCCCCCGCCCCCCGGCAAGTTCTGCCTTCTGCTCATTTGCTGCATCCTTTTCTCCACACTGGAAAGGTCGCTGCAGGAACCTCCTTGGGAATGGTGCTTTCCTTGCATCTGTCTGCATGTTGTGACACTCCTATGCGTAGCGGTAAGTACGAAGGAGAGCCCTGTTGGATCAGGGCACAGGTCCGTCTCCTCCAGCATGCCCTTCCACCCAGTGGCCAACCAGATGCCCCTGGGAAGGGCCCAAGCAGGATATGAGGGCAGCAGCTCTGGCATCCGAAGGTGTGCTGCTTCCATAAGAAGGAATCTGGATTCTCTGGGAATGTTCTGATCCAGAAGTGGGGTGACATTTTCATCCCAATGCCTGCATTTCCCCAGAGGTAGCCCTCCGGGGCCTGTGGGCCCACAGTGGACGGGCCCACAGCCCCATGCATGCAGCGTTCACCCACAGCTACTGGCCTCCTCCATTTGCGTGCATCCAAACGTCAGTATACCCCACTCATACTCCTTTCCACTCCACACACTCCTTCCCTGACATGTAGCACCATTGATTCACACATGGGCTCTCTGTTCCACATGCACATATATGTGCACACCCCCCCCCAACATATATATGCACTGACAAAGTACACACCAGTGCACTTTGCTGAGCTGATTTCTGTAGTTCAGCAGTTTCACACTGAAGTCTGCACTGAAGTTTGTTTGTTTGCGGATTGCTGCTGTAAGGTCAGTTGCAGAGGGACCTGGTGTGCTGAACCGTTTTCATCCTGGTTTTATGATAGGGAAACAGCTACGCAGAGCGGGCTTTATGGAGTTCTGTGATTTGTGCTTTAATCGGATTATGCATTTTATTGCACTCTATGCGTTCATTAGCTTGTGCTCATTGTCATTGTGACTTTGCCTTTTGCTTTATGTGTTGAGTTTTCTTCTAGCTACATTCTTGGCAGGGTCTTGCTGGAACTTCTGCTTCAGTGCATCCAGAGGTCACCAGGGTGGGGGGAGACTGGCAGAAGGTGCCCCAAGACACCTTTTCCATGAGCCAAGATGTGCTTTCTGTGAGCCAAGGCTTGCCCATTCTGCTTGCAGCATCTGTATTCCCCCATCCCAAAATAGTGCCTTTTGCAGTGGGAGATGAGTTGGTTCCTAGAGGCCATGAAGCTGCTTTTTAATTTCCCTCTTGAGAATGAAAGAAATTAGGTGTTCTTCTTTCTTCCTGATGGTTTAAGAAGCTTCATTGTTATTCAAAAACTTTTAATCAAGAACTGTAGCTGCATAGTAGTCTGGATGCTGGTGAGACCTTTTAAGTCCTATATGTCTTGGGCCTGTATTCTCCCATATGAGCCTGCGTTGGGCTCCAAGACCTTCTGGAGAGACTCTTGGTCCCACCATCCCCACAGGCATGCTTGATGGGAACGTGGGAAAGGGCCCTCTCCGTGGCTGTCCCAGCGGTCTGGAATTCCCTTCCCAAGGAAGCTTGGTTGGTGCCTTCCCTGTTATGGCTCCATTAGCAGGCTAAAACATTTTTATTCCAGCAGGCATTTGGGAATGGCCTGTGAATTTGCACTGAGTAATTTTACTGTTTATATTTTTGTAGAGTTTTTAGGGTAGGTCATGATTTAATTTTAATATGTAGTAGATTTATAATTGCATTTTTAACTTCTGTATAATTTTGAAAGTTGTATTGATTTCACTCTTGTGAGCTGCCTAGAGTCCCAAGCTCTGTGTATAGGAGGGATATAAATTATGACATTGACGATGACATGGCAGCTAGTTGACACACCCATTGCTGTCCTATGGCTGCTGCTAGTGAAAGCCTGAGCCACGAGGGAGTCTAGACTCTCAGCAGGGTTGCTGGGCTGGTGACCTTTCGGAGCCAGCCAGTGCTTGAGCTCCACTGCTGGTAAGAGGAGGCAGCTGTGTGCCATCTAAGTCTTTCCAGCTTTTGGTGAAGCCCTTTTGATTGCCAGACCTTCTAAGATGAAGTCGACCTTATGTATTCTGTTGTGTTATGGTTTGCATTTGTGTAGTTTAAATTACTGTAGTGTTTTGTTTATACAGTCTTGTTTTTAAATGCATCTTTCTCATGGTTTGATTGTTTGAATAGCTTTACTGGCTTGTTCCCTGCTGGTTTAGTGCTGAAGGACAGCATATGCATAAACAAACAAATGCATAAATAAGTGGAAAATGCAGTTGTAATGGAAGTGAAGAGCTAGTTTTTTCCTTTACCTTCTATGCACTTTTCTCAGATTGAACAGAAATGGAATCTCTCCCCCCTGTCTTGAACCTCAAGGTCTTACACTGCTCTCGGTTCCACCCACCACCATCATGGGTGCCACCTCCCAGTTCCAAATTTGTGAAGCAATCTGCATTGCACAGGGAATTGGTGCATAAGTCTGTTTGCAGAAGGAGGGTTGAACCTGATGGCCGTTCAACCTCTTTTCTTCAACCTCGCCAGCCTGGGTAGAAATAACGGGAATGCATAACTAGCATAATTCCTGTAACCTGCGGTTAGGCATGTGAATAACTGTTTCCTTGTTCATCTGTGCTGAGCCAGAACTGGCTTCAGGCAACCAGGATGGAAACTTTTCTAAAATGGGAAAAGATGGGAGTCTTCCCCTCACCTCCCTTTCAAACTGCTGGTTTGTGTTTGTGGTGGCTCAGTGGTAGAGTCCATTCCTTGCTAGCATAAGATATGGATCTTGTTGTTGTGAAGTCGTGTCTGACCCATCATGACCCCATGGACAACATTCCTCCAGGCCTTCCTGTCCTCCACCATCCCCCGGAGTCCATGCCGACTGCTTCAGTGACTCCATCTGGCCACCTCATCCTCTGCCGGCTCCTCCTCCTTTGCCGTCAATTGTTCCCAGCATTAGGCTCTTCTCCAGTGATGGGTCTAGTCCCTGATATCTCCCTCAGTCCCTGATATATAAACATCTTCAGTAGCAGCGCTGAGAAAAGGATCTCGGAGACCTTGGAGAATTGCTGCCAGACAAGTGGATGGACCACTGGGCTAACCCCATATAAGGCATCTTTTTATGCACATAGATGGGTCAGATGAGGCATGAAATAGGTGTGCACTAATAGCTTTTGCGGTCTACTTTGAAATGTGCATCAATGGATATCCCTAAAGCCCCTGTTCCCCTTTCTGTATCAATTCTCTGCTTTTGCTTTGTTGTAGGCTGAATATCTTGCTGGCTGGGATGAATCCCTTTTATTTCCATGCCGTGAATGTAGTCCTGCACTGCCTGGTGACACTTGTCCTGATGTACACTTGTGACAAAGCCGTTTTCAAGGACAGCCGCTTGGCTTTTGTCACCGCTCTCTACTTTGCTGTCCATCCCATTCATACTGAGGCGGTAAGTACATGGGAAACCTTTAAGCTACAAGAGTTTCCTTAGCAGTTTCATCAAGGCCTGCTTTTCTGGAAATTGAAAAATAACCCCTTTGATACAATATAAGCATGGTCTTGATCTGGTAGAAGCAGCTGTATGTTATATCTCTACCCTTGCTTCAAAAGATCAGCAGCCTCTGTGTTTACAGAAAATCAGTGTGGCAAGGGGTGGGGGCGGAATATAAGATGCATTAAAAGTTTCCGTCCACAATAGCACCCTTAACACCATGGCCCAGAGCAGGTTTGCTTAGAAGTAAGCCTCACTGAGTTCAACAGAACTATCTGTTACATACATCTGCCTTTGTGCTATGCATATAATTCTGATTAAATGCCTTAAAGCATCGTTGCTAAGAATAAATGCCAAGTGTTTTCACTGAGGAATAATTAGATACTTGGCTGTGATGCAGTATAAAAAACCCCGTAAAACCTGAGCTGTCTATCCTGCTGAGACACTGTTTTGCCTCCCTTTCTTCCTCTAGAGTTTCTTCCTTAGTGTTTGCACATGTGTGTTCTCTCTGGTGCATGCAAAAATAACTCAGCATTAAAAAAAATCCCAAAGTCTTAAGGGAATCATAAATATTGTAACATGACATAAATTAGATTGTGCACATGGTTATAAATGAGAAGAACTGAAAACATTGATCTGGTAATCACTGTATTTAATCCCAAACTAATGAAACATTGATTTTTACAATGAGCTGATACCACCATCTTATCCAATAATAAAAATGTCTAGCATTTATATAGTGGTCTGGTAGGCTATAGTTCTGTATGTGCACTTACCTGAGAGTAAGTCCCATTTAACTCAGTTGGCCTGTCTTCTGAGTATGTGTATAGTACTGTACTGTTACTGTTAGCTTTATGCTGTTGTAATCGCTACAACAACCACATCCAAATTGCTGTGCATGTGTTGTGGTACTATTCCCAGGATTCATGATCTTGCTGTGTTAGCTCAAGCTGAGGAAAGTTCAGGTCCAGAACATCTGGAAGGCTGCCCTACAACCATCCTGTGGGGCGTGGCAATATTACTCTTGAATTGCAGATGAAGGGAAAAACCTGGAAAAGAATGGCTTGATTAAGGCCGTATAACCGAGCTTTGATCTGAGATAAGGTCCCGCTCAGGGAAGTCCTAACTTAATTGCTCAGTCTCTGTGCCTTTTCACTGCAGGGTCTGGACCAAAGTTTGCCAAGAGTGCAGGAGTTGTAGGGCACAATCCTATGCATGATGAGATATTAAAAAGTCCTACAATTCCCAGCATCCTCCAGCCAGTATGTTGTGAGTTATGGGCCTTTCTTTCTATCTTAAGAGCCTTTGGTTTGTGCCCCCCCCCCCTTTAGTATTTTATTTATTTGTGTTTTTAAAGCCTTATATACTGTTCCATTACTGACGTCTTGGGATGGTTTACAACACGCACATTTAAAATAAGATAAAAAATGGTACAGCATCAGGAGATAAATATAAAACCACAAGTAAGACCAAGTAACAATTAAAATAATGGGAGAATAAAAAAGATGGGGAAAATAGTACAAATTGATGAGAACTTTCAGTACATTTTCAGGAACTGGCACCAGGTTTTTAGACACTTGGAGCATTTGGACAATCTGAATTGGACCACTTTAGGGCATAATTATTTGTTATTATTTGTCGTTATTTGTTTTTCGGCGCCAGGTGAAGAACTTTTTATTTAAACGTCATTTTAATTGTTAACAATATTTGCTTATTTATCTGGCCAGGGCGACTTCTTTTATATTTTTTATTTATTTTATATTGTTAATTTTAATTTTATATTGTTATTTTTGTATTTTATTGTATTTTATTGTGTTGTAAGCCGCCCCGAGGCTTCAGCAAGGGACGGCATAGAAATGTTTTAATAAATAAATAAATAAAGTAATCCATAGTGAAGATCTTCTTTTGAGACATCCCAGAATGAATGGAGGCTGTGGTTTGTGTGGCTTCTGCTCTTTTCAGTGGGGCTTGTATAGAAGAATTTGCTGGATGACTGCGTATTTGTTAACCCAGCTTTTTTTAAATGGAGCGTGTCTCCCTAAATTAATAGTTGCTTTTTCCCCAAGCATAACTGTGACCATGTCCATAGTGTAAATTTAGCAAGTCTTAAATGTGCTTAACCTTGCTCACACGACACACTGTTGGTTTGGACTTCTTAAGGAGGATGTGTCTTTCAAGAAGTTATCCATCTCTTCCTCTGTACTTATATTTACAAATTCTCCTGGCCATTCACTTATTTATTGTTAGCATGTTCTTCCCCTTTAATATTTTTCCTGCACTATATTACAAAGGAGCCAGGATGGGAAAATATCCAGAGCTGGTGTGGTGGGTTAGAACTTTGGCCTGGGGACCCAGGAGTTCTTGGCTCTAGTCACCACATGGCTTTGAAACTCACTGGGTGACTTTGGGCCAGTCACAAACTCTCAGCCCAACCTACCTTACAGGGTTGTTGTTATTGTGAAGATCAAATGGAGCTAGGTAAGCTGCCCTGGGCTCCTTACAAGAGGAGGGAGGGTGGGATATGCATGCACTGTAACAACAATAATAATCCAGTAGAGACCTAAACAAGCAGTTGTAGCATGGTGTGCCCCATCCAGCTGGCCAGACAAGTATACCTTCTTGGAGGATGCTCAGTCTATTCCGGCGGCTGTCCAGATCTTTCTTTTGAATGCCATTCATGTTAGCCACTGTAGCTAGGGAGCCGGGCGTCGAGATCCTTGGACATGTCCAGAATCCTTCTCTCTGTACTCTTGCATTCCCCTCCCCTCCCTCCTAGTTTTCTATTTTTCTCTCACCTTCCTTCAATGAGAAGTGCATGTTCAGTGAGTGTGTTCCATCCTTATTGTCCCCCGCTCCCCTGGAAGGATCCATTCCTGCAATATTTGCCCTTTCCAAAACTTCCTGATGTCTCCTTCAAATGTGCGGGTGCTACTGCTCTGGCTGCAGAAGGAGTTCAATATTAGCATATAGGATTCTGTCCAACTCTTCTGTCATTCCATGTGACTCTGAGACAGAACCCAGAGCAAAATGGAGACAGGAGATTAACATCTTTCTTGGGGTCTTCTGAAACTTTCCATCCCCAGCTTCTCAGGAAACACAGGTCACTTTGAAGATGATTAGGAAATATACTTGTAATTTAAAAGTGAAATCTCCAAGGACCAGCATTATTTAAGAAACATTGCAAATGACAATTTGATCTTTTGGCTTTCCCCTCTAAAGTAATCCTTTGTGAACAGAGTTGGTGAGTGTGGAATGCTTAAGTGCTCTGAGAGTGCAATGGCTTTTTTTTGTTGAGATTCTTTCAGGGTTTTTTTTTTTTTTAATAACAAAGGAGGCTTGAGCTTTCTGAATCTCTCCCAGGCTGTTTCAGACCCTTAATCAACTGATCTTTAAATAATGCAGCGTGGTAGTGGTAAGGAATCATTAACATTGGAAAGGGTGGGAATAATTTGGGTGGAAATTACAGGAATGTTTTAATAATTTTTAAAGTAAGAATTAACAGCATGCAAAGCAAATACCAAATTATGAAGATGCTTTATTAGAGGCCACATTTTAAAGGATTTTTAAAAATCCTCATATTTAGGAGGAGATAAATGTTGACACAACATGAATAAATTGTTTAGAAACTTGCCAGCTTTAGAGTCTGGGAAAACTTAGTGCATTCTTTGAAGGTGATGAAAATTATTCATAAACTAGGATTTTTCTGTCTTTTTGTTAGTGAAGTTTACCAGTCAGGAATCACTGTGTTAAGTTGTAAGGAAGGGCTTCCCTTAAGACGGGTCGGCAATGTGTGGCCTCCAGATGATTGTTGGACTACAGCTCCCATCATTCCTAGCTGGCATAAATTGCAGTGTCTGCAGGATTACACATTCCCCATCACTGTCTTAAGACATTTCCCTTTATTAATGTGTTGTTTTTAAAGAGGAGGCTTTCAGAGTTATGAACTTATCTACAGGGTGTTGTTTGTCACCCTGAAAACTACCCCTCAAGTTCTCTTCATCTCTAGTTCATTTTTTTTCTCCTTAGCCCTTAACTTGGAACTTAACCTCATGCCCAAGCTATATCCTGTATCGGGGTATCCTATCCACTTTGCCTAAGGTACTCCTGAAAAATATAACCTGGGCCCATAGGATCCAAGCAAGGATGGAAAACCTGCTTGCCAACATCTAGGCAAGGTGCTGAAGTGAACCAGGAGCTATTGGACAAAAATAACAGAAACTACCTTGGCTATTCTGTGGCGTGGCCTGTTCTGGGAGTCGGAGAGGGGAGTGTAACTGCAACAGAGAGGGACTTTTTGGTGGTAGTGGCCTATTTGTAGAATGCCTTCACTGGGGAGTCTCACTTGGCACCTGTTGCGTTGGGCAGGGGTTGCTTTGTGGAGATCTTTCCAGGTGATTTAAAATCTGCTCTCAGATCTTCACATTGCTTTATTTTTATTATATTGGTGGTATTCTTTATTTCTTGATGTAGAGTTTTAGGTGCCATAGTTGTTTTATTGGATTTTGTATTTTAAGTTGGCCATGTACTTGTAGATTGCCCACAGAACTTTCATTCTTAGATGGTTTAAAGGCATAAGAAATAAAATAAATAATAGAAGTACACCTGATACTGGACCTATCCACCCCTGACACTGGGGCCTTGACACACCAGATATCCTGCTCCTCTCTTGCTGGCAGGATGCGGCAATAGCCTGCTGCTCCCCTTTTATGTGAGGAAAAGCCATTTCTAGAGGAGTTAATTGTGCCTGGCAAACCTGCAGTGAAGGGTCTCTGTATGCCATTTCCCATTCTAGCCCCTCCAAAGCCTCCCCCTGAGTAGTTACCCTCATGTGAGAGAAAAAGCTGATTTGGTGACGGTTTTAGCCAAGGCCTTTCCTACAGTCCCTCTGATGAACAAAAGGCCAGTCCTGTGACCCCCAGACTGCACCTGTGGTTCCGTAAGATGCAGTGGGTCTTTCTCTCCAGGGCTGGAGACTGAGCTACGACTTCAGGAAGGGAGAGCTGACTGCAGATCTCTCTCCCAGCTGCAGCAGGAAGCTCTGTTGCGACTCCCTCTCGAGGTCAGGGCTCTGGGTTCAGGAGAGGGGCAAAGGGATTAGGCCAGTGGGCAAGCATTGGAGGAGCAGCCGTGTGTCTGCTGAATCCAGTGGTGTCTCGGCTGCTTTCACTGCTGGAGCAAATTAGACAGGCTCTCACAGGCAGTTAGAGAGACAGGCCGGTATCCCTGTTGGCAGGGGCACAGCAGGGCTTTGAGCTGATGTAGGATCCTGAGACTGGAACCACCCATCACCTCCACTAGATGTTTCCTAATTCATTCTCTCCCTCCATCCCCCTCTCTCCACCCCCCTCTGTGTAATTTGCAGAATCCCTTTAAATCAATGTATTTTTTAATACAGTCTCATGTATGTATGTATTTAATTTCTGTACCACCTAATAACCAAAGCACTGCTATATGCGGCATATAACAATTCTGTTCATTTTCATCCCCGTGAAAGATCATTATCATTAGGAGTGCAGTCTATTCCTGTAAGATGACTTTTTCTGCCTGAACAATTCCAAGCAGTGTCCCAGCTAAACATGCGCAGGATTGCTCCCTAGATGTCTCTGGCCAAAGGCAGGATTTGATGAGGGTCAGGAAAAACAACCCTCTAGTAGACCTACTTGACTGAGAGCAAGACTGATTGAACCTGGTGGCTTTTGCTTCCGAGTGGATGCGTACAGGATTGCATGATATGCCCTGAAATACAGCTTCATGATTTAATTTCAACTTTGACTTTTTTTCTTTTTTATCCCTTCTTAGGTAACGGGTATAGTAGGCAGAGCAGACGTGTTGGCCTGTCTACTATTTCTTTTGGCTTTTCTCTCTTATAATAGGTATGTCTCTTTTTGTCTTATGGTTATGATACTTGTAGTTTTCAAGGGGGACTAATAAATAAGAAATGGTGACCTGTGGGACTCATATTATGCGGCAAACTCTGCTTGTTCTCTTACATTCCCATTTCCCTTCTGCGCGTGTGTGTCTCTCTTTCTCTGCAATGGATGGGGTGGAGTAGCTAAGTTACATCACAGCACAACTGATCACTGCAACTGCATGTGTGAATGGTGTCAGCTGCGCTGTGTGCCAGTTATAGGCTGTGGCAGAGGAGCCTACACTGCAGTAGAATACATACTTGGGGTCTAGATGGTCCCAGTTTCAATTCCTGGCATCTCTAGGTCAGTCCAAGAAAGAATCCTGCCTGAGTGTCAGTGCCAACAAGACTGGGCTGAACAGCTTCGGGGTCAAACAAAGTATAGGGCAGACTCCTGTGTTCCTGTTTTGTGACTAGACTTTAAAGTCTATAACTTGGTAGTTCAAAAGAAGCAAACAGGGGAAAAGAAAAAGCACCAAGTTGAAGGAACAGTAGGGAAGACTGTTAATCCTTTCTAACCACAGCTTCTCTGTTCCAAATCAATGTCTCCAGCTGATTCCTCCCTTCCCCTGTACTGCCAGGTAGCAAATTTATTTTTGCAAGGATAAATGCATGTCTGGAGCCTCATGAATGGTGATGGGAGGACAATTGTGGCAGAATATCATGGAGTAGAGGAGTGGCTGGTGAGGACAGAGTTAACCCTCTGCTCCATATTGCCACCCCCAGCTTTTCCTTTAAAGCCAAGTAAACAAACCAAAAAAGGTTGTCAGGGTTTCCTTAGATGTGTTGGCAGAGGGGAAATCTAGTACCTGTTTGCAAGGTACACCCGCTTGGATGGTACCAACCTGAGACTCCGTGAAACTGCCTCTGGAGTTGAGACAATAGGTATACATGGAGAAACAAGCAGGGACTCAGGCGAGGCAGAATGCCCCCACCCTTGCCCATGGAGAGAGAAGCCGCATATGTATACAGAACTTTCTGTTTAAGTGAACGCAGGCAGTAAATGACCTTTGCCAATTTTGTCTATACCCTGGAACTGTTTCTGTGCAGTCATTTAGCACATAACCATTTGTTCATATATAAAGTTTTGAAATTTCTTGTATGATGTGTCTGGCATATGAGTATTTTCTAATCCAGGGAAACTTGTTTGGAATAAATGCTTTGTCAAGCTATACAAGTGAAGAATAAATCTTTATTTTTAGCCTCCCCATCCAATTATATTGTAAAGAACCGTGTTCATTAATTACATTTATATCCTGCCTTTCTTCTAAAAATGGCACTTATTTTACACCTCATCACTCCCTCTATTTCAGAAGTTCAGAAATGCATGTCAGTACATAGAAATCAAAAAGTGTGCAGTCTACATAGAAAAGGAAGATATTAGCAGGGGGTGGGAAAATCCCAAAGCTGTTTAATGAGGACTGGTCTTGCTCAATTTGTATAGATGGCCAGCTACTGATGGGCTTTCTCTGTGTGCAGAATAGAACGCTGGAGCGGTTAGGGTATCAGAGTGTCAAAGCGTAGCTGTTTGGTTGGAATCCTGAATGGGACTGTTCTATACTGTAGCATTTTGTTGCAGTTCTCACTACTTTTGTATTAATCATTTTTAAATGTTAATCCTGACTAGCTTCAGCTTTTTGCATGGATACAGAGGCCTTTCTAAACCAGCCACAGAAGTTTCTTTAAATGGAGGAAAGCTGGTGCAAATCTTTTGTTAGCTTTCGCTCCAGGAAATGCCAGTGGTATAATTAGTGATAGCTGGTTTACATGTTACATCATACAGGAAATGCTTCCACAGGGTGACTACAGTGATAGCCTGGATTTCCCATACAAATTGAAAGCCAGCATTAGTCAGGACTCTCCGACAAGGGAAATACCCTTGCACCTTATAATGAACCCCTTGTAATATCTGCTGTTCCTTTTACAGTGAAAACCAATTCATGGAATATTGGAAGCAGCAGTAAGGTTTATATCAGAACACCGGAAGCTGTTTTCTATCAGGGCCAAGTTCTGATGAGCAGTAGCTCTTAAGGTCAGCCTTCCCCAACCTAGTACCCTGAAGATTTTTTATACTTGGCCTCCTATCGGCCCCTGCCAGCAAGGCTGACTGTCAGGAATGCGGCAAGTTGTATGTAAAAGATCTGGAGGGCACCAGCCTAGCAGGTGGGCTGCTATAACTCTTGGGCAGGGGCTTTTCTGCGCACCTGCTCCATGATCCTTTTAAAGTGGAGAGGCTGTGAGTCAAGCTTGGAACTGTCAGCACGCTCTGCTACTGAGATATGGTCCTTCCTGAGGAATACCTGGGCTTTATGTGTCGTGAATGTGTATGAAGAATTCCTCTTCATGCCAGCCCTGGACTAAAGACTTACCTTTGGCCACCTGGCCTGCTCAGCTTTCTTTGGTTCCAAACCGAAGGAAGAAGTAGATGCTGGCAAACTGGTCAAAAGTGCTTCCCTTTTCTCTAGTTGAGCTCTTCTCTCCATGAGCTGCTTTTGTTTTAGTTCCTTGTATCCACTTGGTTAGTTAACACGATTGGTTGTTGTTGTATTTGTACTGCCAGGTACAGGGAAAGGTGCTTTTCTGCCTCATGTGCCAAAATAACTAGGCTGGGTTTGGGTGTTCTGCGTGTTCTGCGTCTTGACTTGCGTGAGAGGGGTGCCATTTGCTGCCTCATCTAAGACAGCAATTTATCTTGGGTCAAGCCTACTGAGGACACCCGCTGGCCCTGTTTTTCTTCCTGCATTATGCTGCGGTATTTGTGACTGGCCAGAGAAGAAGCCAAATGAGGAGGAGGGTGGTTTTCTGTCACCCATTTCTCTCTGTTTTTCTCCAGAGTAGCACTGAGGTGATCTTTCAGCTTAGCTGTAGTGCCATCTCTCCCTCCCTCTTCAAATTCCTGCTCAAAACTCACTGCTCCTGGGTAGCCATTGGTTCTCCCTGCTTTCCTCATGCAGCGCCACAACCAGACTCCTGCAACATGTGCCCATAGATCACACCTTAGTCCTTGTCTTTCCCAGTCTGACTCAGCGGTTTTCCCTGATACCTACTTTTAATAATCAGCTTCTCTGGGGAAAATGCTTTGCATATGTTCTTCTGTATAACTCTGTATGAAGCCATCTGCTCTGATGACTTGGGATTAATGATAATTCTTCCCTTCCTGAAGCTTGATCTTTCAACTTGCTGCCTCTTCTGTTCTTGCTTCCCCAATAACTCATTTGCCCTATAATGCCCTGTTTATTTAACTTGGTTTGTTAACCCGGCCGGGGGGGGGGGGGGGGGGGGGGGCTGTCCCTTAAGGGAATGGAAGAAAATGAGTATGTTTCTTGTAAAGTGAGTTACCATGTTTTCATTCTGCCTTGCAGGAGTGTGGATCAGCTTTATGTTGGGGAACATTTCCCTCCCACTGCCTCTCTTCCCTTTTTGCTGCTTAGTTTATTTCTTGGGACCTGTGCAATGCTGGTAAAGGAAACGGGAATCACCGTGTTTGGTGTCTGCCTTGTGTATGATGGCTTCCTGCTTTCACAAAATAGACGCAGATTGTAAGTAAATGCAACTTAAATATTTCATCAGTTTGATTTCAATATGCCTGGCATGTAAGTTCACAGCAGTTCCTGCTCCCAAGAGCCCACTTGCTCGTGTATACCAGTGTAGGTTATTTGTGATGTTTTGATTGGATGCGGTAATAACCAGGCTTTCCAATTTGCCCGACTTCCCTTAGCTGGGTTTTTTTATTGTACTTGCAGATTCTGAAACAGTGAGCAATAAAGGTAAAAATAATAAAACGCTCTATTGAATGTTTTTCAGAACAGAATTAAAGAAGGTTTCTTGGAATAAAGGTGTGTTCAGCACATGTAATACAGTGTTGGTCCCTGCCTGACCTCCAGAGGCAGGAGGTTCCACAGAAAGAGGACTATGGCGTGGAGGACTGTTCTCCAGTTGGACTGTAGGTCCATGTAGAACCACCAGGAGCACGTCATCCGATGACCACAGTGGTGGCTGAGAAACAGTTCCTGCTTACCACAAGTGAACATGTGCATGCTGTTTAAAAAAAGGGACTCTGTTCTGTGCTCTCCTTTGAGCATCGGATCTCATGCACTAAGAACTGCAAACACCTTATTGTAAGCTGTCCAGAGATGAAAGTGATGGATGGCCTAGAAATATCCTAAACAAACACTCACACACCTAGCCTTTCTCAGACAAGAGATTTTGTTGGAATGTGCTGGAGCTTTCAAACGCATCTTGGCCATGCTGGCTGGGAATAATGAGACTTCCCATCCAACGCATCTGCAGGCAAAAAGTGGGAAGGAGATGTAGCCATAGCTGTGTGTTGTATTTGCATTTTATATATATTGTAAGCTACTCTGAGTGCAGTTATAGAAAAGTGGAACATAATAGTTATTTATGATTTTCATTCGCAATATGCTTTTCACATGTATATGTGCCTATAAATCTTTTTGGAAAGCACATATAATGAAAAAGTTACTTTTAATGAATCTTTGGGGCAGGGATGCAGAATTTTTCAGCCAGAGGGATAGATTCCATTTTGGAGAAACTCTGGAGGGCTACATTCCATTGGTTGTTGGGCCGAAGGCAGAAGAGATGGGTCCAAATAGCAAGAATACCTACTATTTTAGCTTAATATGCTCATGGTCAGTAATGAAGCTTTAGGGAAGGCATTTCAGTCTTTTAGAATGGGAGGGAAACTACACAAAAGCCAGGAAATAGCCACATGATTGGTGGGGGAAGGAAGAGGATGTAATGTTTGAATGCTGCCCAGAAGGTTGGATTAGTTAAATTAGTGCTGGGGCCTGAAGTTTTGCATCCCTGAACTACTAAGACTAAGGAGACCTGAGTTCAGATAATCATTCAGTCCTGAAGCTTTCTGGGTGATGATGCGTCAGTCACTCTGTTTCTGCCCAGGTTTCCCCACTGAATTGTTGTGACAGTGACAGGGCCAGTGCGAGCCTCAGTATGCCACTGTGAACTCTTCAGTAATGGATGCAATTAAAAACACGGTCTTTAATACTCTCAGTGCTTCCATTTGGACGGAATCATCCTCTCCAGATGCAGTCTTCTCTTCCTAGTGTCCTTCCGATGCACTGGATTGCAACTCCCATCATTCTCAGTTAGCATGCCCAGTGGGAGTTCTAGTCCAAAACAACTAGAGGCACCAGACTGGGGAAAGCTAATCTAATGCATGCATATCTTGGATTGTTTATACAACCCCCTTCTCCTTAGCTTCTCCGCTAGTTAGGTTTCCCCACACTGACAGATGCTTGCTGTTCATGTTTTACGATTTCAAAAACACTGCATAGCTGCCACATCTGGATGTGGTAGTGCTTCCAGAAATCAGGCGGAGTGGCCCAGGTGTGGTGCGTCTTTAGGCCCATACTAAATTGTTATTGAACATGAATGTTATGGTTTGCAGAGCTCTGTATTTTATCACTAGACAGCTTCTTTGTGAGAGGGAGGGAGTTCTTGAAATGGGGCTCTCCGTACAAATAACATACACTAATAACATACGCAGAGGGCCGATAAAGGCACAGCATCTGTCCTGAGATCTTGTATAATAGGACGGCATACAGAAGCTTTTAATAAACAAACAAATAAATCTACCGCAATCAGGCTATTAGAGGAGACGTCAAGGTGAAATCTACAATGAATCATAATATATGAATATATTCACATGGTTATATATGTATAACACATTAATAAAAATCATTTTTAAAAGAATCATATTTTCTAGTATGTAAATAGATGCCCATTTTCTGTTACCTGAGAAAATAAATGCTACCCTCCTTTTAAATAAAATTCTTCCTTCCCCACTTTCTTTCCCTAACTCTGATAATATGTGCCATTTTTAATATGCCCGGATCTTAAGCCTACACCTACGATCCATTATAGTAGGTCTTTCTTTTTTTCCATTTATGCCCGATAGCCCATCCTTACAGCAATTAACAAACGACTAATCATGTCCACAACATTCTGTAAAACTTTTTCTCTCCCTGAGGTGTGAAACCTAAGGTAAGAGGTGCAGCTGGGAGGAATAGTTCATAAGCTTCCATTCCCTCGTTTGATTAACCATAGGCTTCCACGTTGTGCAAGCTCAGAACTGTGGTCAGTCCCAAATGTGCCTAGTTTAAACCAGGGTACACAACTGGCATTCTCTCCAGGGTGCCTTCCCACTGCATTCTCTACAACCTGTACCCCTCATTCAGTCTCCTAGCGAGCTTCATACAGTGGTTTTCCACTGAGCTTCCTGGCCAGTATTACGTGCAACCCTTGGAGTCTGAAAGCAGATGCTGTGGATCAAAGTAGCCTGAATTATTAAATCAAAGGTGCACACCCATCTTCTGCCCAAGAGCTGCATTCCATTTTGAAGATGCTCTCGGATGGGGCCAAAACACCACTGTTTTAGCTTAAAGCTCTTACTGCCACTAACCAAGCCTCAGGAAAGGCACTCCATCCTTTTAGGAATCAGGAAAAACTGTGTACAAGATGGGGAATCACCAAAATATTGGCTGTTTTGGGAAAGGGGGAGTCCTGGGGATTCCTAGGGGACCAAATTTATTTATTTAAAAAATTAACATGTCGTCCTGTCGCAAAAAGCCTCAGGACAGCTTACAGCATAAAATACAACATAAATAAATTCCCAACCCACACTGGCTGCAGTTAAAAACATAGAAAAGACAATATTAAAACTTATTAAAATATCGCTGGAATAAAAAGTCTTAACCTGGTGCTGAAAAACAAATAATGACAGCGCCAGGCAGACCTCTCTGGGGAGCGCATTCCATAGAGGGGGTGCCACCAGAGAGAAAGCCCTCCTCTGGGTACTTTGCCTCCTAATATCTTTCACGGAGGGTTCCCGGAGGAGAGCCTCTGCTGCCGATCTCAAGGGGTGGGAGGGCAAATATGGAAGAAGGCGTTCCTTCAGGTAACCAGGTCCCAAGCCATTAAGGGCTTTATAGGTAATAACCAGCACCTTGAATTGAGCCTGGACTTCGATGGGAAGCCAGTGAAGCTGGTAGAGGACTGGGGTTATATGAGAACAACGCTCAGTCCCTGTCAGCAGCCTGGCAGCTCTATTTTGCACCAATTGAAGTATCTGGACTGTCTTCAAGGGCAGCCCCACGTAGAGAGCATTACAGAAGTCTAATCGGGAAGTGACCAATGCATGTGTCACTGTTGCCAGGCAGTTGTTCTCCAGGTAGGGACGCAGCTGATGGATCAGCCGAAGCTGAAGGAAAGCGCTCCTCGCCACCGCAGTCACTTGAGCTTCCAAGGATAGCTCCGCATCGAGGAGCACTCCCAAGCTGCGGACCCTGTCCTTTAGAGGGAGTGCTACCCCATCCAGGGCAAGGTCCAGGCCACCTCCCCAGGAGCTCGATTCACCCACCAACAGGACCTCCGTCTTGTCTGGATTGAGTTTCAGTTCATTGGCCCTTCACCCTTGCTCTAAATAATGGATCCACAAATAGCATCCTGGCAGTAGCGTTCTCCGCCAGCTGATGTTTCAGAGCACTCTGCAATTGTCAAAACAAGCAATAATGTACTTGAACAGTAGCATAGCCTTTACAAGTGTCTCCTTGGAGCCTTTTTCTGATTGATATTCCTACAGTGTCATGCAGGCCTGCTCTTTCCCCAGCAACATGGGAAGCGCTTTTTTGTGCGGCATCATGTTTGCGTTGCTTCTCGTGCTGATGGTGCTAAATAACCAGGAAACAACTTCTCAGTGTGAATAAGTAAGAATGGAAATCCATCTTCTGATATTAAGATTTTGATTTTTCTCTTATTTAGGAGAAATGGCGGGGTGCATCAGAGGATGGCTCGGCAGCCTGCAGCTTCCCTCCATCCTTCGTTGCAACTTTCTTCATCCAGCAGGGAGAATGGGAAGCACCGTGTTGCTCACAAGGGGACCTGGAACTCGTATCACCCTGCGTCCCCTGAAGAACAGCAACGCAGCAGCCCTTCTGTCTTGAGCAAAGCTGCCTGGGCTGTGCTAAGGTACCCTAAGCATGCCATAGTCACTTTGAGCATTTTGGGTCTGAGGTCTGCATACAGTGATACGCAGGAACGGCACACAGATCGGTAGCTGTGCACCCTTTCTCCGATCTCACTGTGCTCTGTAGAGCAATGGAGGGAGGTGGGTGGCATGGACAGCGTGGGCCACCAGCATTGGGTAGGGCTGATAGCAGTTGTTGATCGAAACATCTGGAGGGCCACAAGTTGCCCACTTCTGGTCTATGCTCACAGGATCCCAGGCAGGTCACTCCTGTTGCCTGCAATCCCCTGATCTTCCTGACTGGAGATGCCAGGAAGGGAATCTGGCACATTCCATGTACTAATTGAGTGTTTTATTGCCAAGCTGCATTCTATGCCTGCCCCTTTCCCAGAGATCTAGACTTGTGTGTGTGTGTGCGTGTATGTGCATGCACATGCATACTTTTGTGTGTGTGTTTCAATGTGTCACTGTATTACAAGAAAGGTACTATGCGGGAATGGGTTTCATAATGAAAACCCAAGTATGTAAGTGCTATAAACCCCCAAAGTATTCTACGTTTCATGTTGAAGCTTCTTCTGACTCACACAAGATTGAAATTTTTGGTTTTGGGGTTTTTCAGGAAAATCTGTTCATATTTCTGTATGCATTTTTCCAAATCTATGCATCAGTTGTGCACTGCTTTGAAATGTTTGCATCATCCTCTCATTGAACAAAGCATATTGTGTGTATTTGTGAATATGTGTGTGTTGTTTTATGCACTACTTTGGTCCACAAGTCACGTTACAAGCTCAAAAATGACTTCAATCTCAAATTGAGTTTATGTTTAGTTTGGAGGGTGCAAATTGGGTAAATTCTGATGAAAAGGAACTGACTAAATTTCTTATACCTTGCAAACTACATCCTGCTGTGGCGGAGTTTATGTGAGCTGCAGTGAAATTAGTGAATTATCTGCAGGTGTGGACAGATGAGTTTTATATCAGGCCCATGTCACTTATTACTTTTCTTCATTTATAAAAAAGTGCATATGTTTCTCAAAACCCTCTATGAAAATGCACTTCTAAGTATAAACGCATATGTTTAAAGGTATAGTCTCCCTAAATACTAATTTTTAATGGAAGATACGCTGGCACGGTTTCATTGGTTTGAGTTGTTTCTTGTTGAAGATGATCAGTGGATGGTGACCTTTTGGGGGTGTGCCCCACAGTGAGCAGAGGTGAGGGCGAGAATGCCTTGCCTTCAGATGGTAACAGGAATTGCGCGTTCTGTGCCACCCTTTTTGTCTTGATGTTATGGATGCAGCATGATGTCCTTCTGCAGAGGATTCCATTATATTGATTTCTTATCCCGTTTCTTTCCCATCAACTGGTAATTGAGTTGTAAATAAATCTTATTAGTCATTATCCCTCTTTAATCCCCCCTTAATAGGACATGGTGCTGCTAATTGGATATGCTTGCTTCCTGATGTTACGTTTTAGTTCAGTGATCTTGATTAGGATAGTGACTATTACAATACAGTTTTGGGGCAGGGCTATGTTGGTAGATTCTGGCTAAGCATCAATTAAAAAAACAGCAGGATTACTTTCCCTAAGGATTTGTTCTGCTAGTACATAGTGGGTCAGAATATGGCTACAATGAGCAGATAACTCTACAGAAGTATATTAGTAAGGATACTGTATAGTCCTGGTTTACCTTTAGGATAGGCTGAAGGTACATTTGCTAGATTGGATCTGCTGGAAGATCTCTGGGTGCTTTGTAGTACATTGGCAATGGTTTTTGACTCCCATTTGGTTTTTGACTCAGTAGCACCAACAAAATGACCCTCCTGCCTGTCCTAATTCATACCTCCGAAATAAAGTAAGCTTGGGATAACCAGAAGTAGATTTTTGTGTGTGTGGCCTGTGAGCATTATGCAGTTTGCCTGCTAAAGTTCTGGGCTCAGAATTCTTTAATTCTAATCATGTGGCCTTTGATCGGTTGATTTCAAGGTTCCCATGGAAAACAAAATGTGCATATAGAAAGTGTGCCCTCCCCCATGTTAACTGTATCGATGTCACAGTGGGTCGTTTCTTCATAGCAGCCTTCCCCAACCTGGCCCTTTCCACATGTTCTGGGCTGAAACTCCCAGCATTTCTGGCCATGCGTGCTGGCTGGAGCTGGTGGGAGGGCCTCATGCAGGGCATGGTTGCCACAGACGTTCTCCTCCCTTACCGGAATGTTCAGCCTGCTAGCCTGAGGATAATTCTGTCCCTCACCACAATTTGTTCTCTTGGCAGTAAGAGGAAACCCTGAGCAGATATCTTCATCTTCAGAGGTGATGTTGCAATGATCAGGCAGAACTGAAAATTAAAATGAAGTTGTTCATCTTCAGTACTGTGCAACAGTTCAAGTTATTGATTATGGATATATTTTCTTTTGCCAACAAGTTGACCACTCAGTCAGTCCTACAACAGAGTAGTGGCTTCTAAAAGTTGACTTGCTCCTGGGAGGCCTGACAGTGATTTATAACAAGTAGTGTTTTATTTACAGAGTGCCTGACGTTTTCTAGGAGCTGAGCAAAGGTTTAAAAGACAACACAGGTCCTTTCTTCAAGCTTATAATCTGATAGGCAGGATGCAGGAGAAAGGCATATGAAGAGAACAAGAGGGAGCAAGTTCAAGCACTGATTCTTCATAGTGATCACATTCTGATGTGCTCATCTATTGGCTTCAGGCTGGTGGGAGTCCTCAGCATGGTGCTCTCTGGTGTCCCACCCCTTACCAGTGTCTTCTCCTTGGGAGCTCAATAGCAGCATTCTTCCTATTGCCCCCAGGTGGCTTCCATTTTAATTTCCCAGAATGCTGTCAAGAGATATCAAGGGCATTGTGGGAAATCAAAATGGTACCAACATTTTGGTACCAACAACCAATCAGCATTCTCCATTGGGGATTTTAAAAGAAAGCTATTCAAGGCAGGTGTCTACAGTCGGTCCTTCGGGAGCGTTGGGTCCACAACAGTTGCAGAAGGGTGCTGTGTGGCTTACACTGGCACTGAGTTGCTGTTTCAGGTCAAAGCCTGTCTCAACAATTGTTCTGTTTCCAGTTGCTTCCAGGATGTTTGCAAGGAAGGCACAGGGGTGACAGCCTTCTCCTGTTTATTTTTAGAATGGATTCACACCCGTAGGACGTCATAGCTATAAATATTGCAGAATAAATACCTCTGGTTAGATCAGAGGTCTCTAATGATCTAAGTCAGGGCCCATGAAAGAGCCTTAGAACTCTGGAACAAATTTTGTCATGATGCAACAGTCGTCTTAGCACCTGTTCGTGGACGTGGTGTCTAACTCAACAGAGGACAGCCTTGAAGGGGACCACTGAAGAAAAATTGCTGAACTGGCTGGGGTTGATGGGAGCTGTGGTCCAACACATTAAGCATACTAGCCTGGTAGAGGCTGGAATGCATGATTAGGTTGCTTGCTGGTGTTGCTATCCAGTAGTTTTATGCAGGGTTTTGTCTTGATTTAAGCACCTTTTTGAAATGTTCCACTTTACAAAAATAAAGGAAAAATTATTCACCGCACTTGAGAGGTCTGACAGCTTTATGGAGAACTGCTTAAATGTTGTATGGAAGCATGGTTTCCTAATGAGAATTAAAGGGGAGAGCTGGGTATTTTAACTACCGTTTTGTGACTTTACACATCTCTTCTTTTACAACCCTCCAATTATCATTTTGTAGTGAAGTTCTGCATGGCACAGCGAACAGACGTGATCTCCTCATCAGTGTTTTAGCATGAAGCAAATAATTTCCTCTTGCTTTTTTTGTGTTGCAAGGTTTGTGCACACAGGTACCCGCATACACACACTTCTTTCTCCTGTACAAGTGCACACAGATATACTGCCCGAAACAGCATGCATATATGTAATATAAATGTCAAGTGTACTTGCTTCCAAACTGTTTTTACAGACAAAATATAAATGTTGGCATTACTTTGAGCTTTCCTAAGTAGCTTAGGACCATGCTATCCAGTGAACCAACCCTCCCCAATGTTAAGTTGTCACTTGGCTAAAGTGACCTTGTGTGCATCACATCATCTTTTGAAGTACTGTTGGTGGAGGTCTGTAAAAGGGACTTCTTTGCTGAGGTGTTCAGGATGTGGAGCTTGGCACCTGGAGATTCATCTGCATCCTGCTTTGCCAGTTCTCTGATTCTGTCTATCGCTTGCTCTCACGCTTTCTCTCTCCCATTCTGTGTAAATTGTAGCCCTACAGTTTGAATAAACAAATACACTGAATGAGGACTGACTTTTGCAGCAAGCTTTTAAACTTTATATTCCTTAAATAGTTTTATCTATTTTCTCCTTGTCTTTTCCAAGGTACCCATAGATTGGTGGTCTGTAACCACAAAGACAGCAAGGGTCTTGTGGCACTGATCTTTGTTTGGGGCCCTGAGGTATTTTGATTCCCATATCCAAGATTAGGAATGGGGTTCTGACCTTGGAGTTGGGAGTCTGTGCTCCAACTCCCCTTCCCTGCCTTGAAAATGGTGGAGAAATAACTGAACCAACTGCCTCGCGGAGGTTGGGAAACTGTCCTCAAGACAGTAGGTAAAGGGGGTTGGGGAGAAAAGGAGAGGGGGTCCATTGGGAGGCAAGGTGTGCCCTCCTGCCTGCTTTCTGTCCCTTTCAGTCACTTCAGCAAGATGCTGACAGTGGCCAGCGAGCTAAAATTCGGAGCAACAGGAACAGTGAAGATGCAGGGTGGATGATGGTAAGTCATAACAACATAAGATGGTTATGACTATCAAAAGCTCTTTCAATAGGACTGTGTCCTTAAAGGCTTAGATTTGTTGTGGTGTAAGCATTCATAAAGTACAGTCCACTTGACCAGATGGACCAGATGAGTAAATTCCATGGAAGTTCCATGAAAATTAATACTGCAAATAAATTTGTCAGTCTTTAAGGTGTCACACAACTTTTTAGTGCTTTTTTGCTTATTTGAGTTTTCTGTAATTACTTGCAGTTCTGAAA